GGCAAAGAGCCCATGGCTGGGTAGGTCAGAGGACCTCCAGGAGAACCTACATCTATTATTCTGCTAAGTGGACACGATAGTAAACTGCCTTCTAAGTACTTATACCCATCGGTAGAGCAGCATCAATTCTCATCAGAGAAGCTTCTTTTTGCAGCAGATTGTGATTAATAGAGAGACTGGTCTATCAGCAGAGGATAGAGCCACAAACAGGACATCTACAGCACACTACCTTCTCCCAAGGCTCAGGGATCATCACAGAGAAGGGGTTGGAAAGACTGTAACTCCAAAGCAGTAGCTGACTACAGAGAAACAGTATTTTCTAGATGCAGCAGGGTAATTGCACACATGAACTCACAGGAGCGGTGACTGCATGCATGCATGAGATGACCCGCACAGGCTCAAGGCAGACAAAATCCCAGCGTGGGTGGAGGAGAGAGTCACCAAGTCTTAACCCCTCGCCGTGGAGCTATTGGCCGCTGATGACTACTGGGAAGAAGTCAGTTTTCTTCAGAGAGGGGGATTTTGAGAGGCTACCCCTCCACTGAATGGCCTGTGTGCACGCACATACTGACTGCATGAAGCAGATGCAATGGGTTAAAAAAAAAAAAAAAGAGCAGCTGTAGTGGGTAGCCATTCCAGCTTTGATCTGGAAGTTCCAACCCCCATTGAAGCTTCGGTAACTGTCACACCTACAAGGCGGGGCCAAGAGAGGACCCTGAAGACCCGAGATCCAGATGGGCCAGCTCTCTCTGTTCCTGGACCCTGGACAGTGGAGGTTGACCAAGCAGAGCTTCAGAGAACACTACTGAACTGCGATACACCTTCCCCAGACCGTACGACCTACCTATCCCTTTATTTGTAAGTTATGCCACTAATAAACTTTCCTTTTAACTACGTGGAGTGGCCTTAATAATTTCACCAATAATTGGTGCCCAATGTGGGGCACAACTCTGAGATTAAGAGTCTCATGCTCTACCGACTGAGCTAGCCTAAGCAGCAAAGTTGGGAGAGAACAGTGGTGGGTCACCCAGAGAAGACACTGAAGGGGAGGGAGAGGTAGATTAAAAACATTATATGTATGTATGAAATACTAAAACAACAACAAATTCAGTGCTAGTTTTCCCAACTTCTGGTTCTAAGGTAAGAGCTAAGCAATATCTACCACACTAGACTGACTCACTCACTTAGTGGATGGGAAGCATCTTACACAGCATCGCCCTTACAGTACAAGGCTAGTAAATGAGTTCTGATTTGGCCTAAACAACATTAGTATGTTACTAATTCGTGTCCTCTGTGGATGATTGACATTGCCAATGCAAGAACTGTCTATGTAACTTATAATTGAGAACATAGTTAATTGCAAGCATTGCCAATGCAAGAACTGTCTATATAACTTATGATTGAGAACATAGTTGATTGCAAATTGGTTAGAGTTTTTTATGGTCCCAAATAAATCAACTTTGAGTAGTTAAGATAAAATGGTGTGGGGTATAGAGCACCCATTGCTCTCCTAGAGGACCCAGGTTTGAGTCCCAGTATCCACATGGCAGCAGGTATCAACTGTCTGCAATTCCAGTTCCAGGGGATTCAACATCCTCGTTTTGTTTTGTTTTTTTGAGACAGGGTTTCTCTGTGTAGCTTTGCGCCTTTCCTGCATCCCGCTCTGTAGACCAGGCTGGTCTTGAACTCACAGAGATCCGCCAGGCTCTGCCTCCTGAGTGCTGAGATTAAAGGCGTGCGCACTACCACCGCCCAGCCCAACATCCTCTTCTCATGTCCTTGGACACCAGTCAAGCTCATGGGTACACAGACATACATGCAGGCAAAACATGCATACACATAAAATAAATTTTTTAATAAGATAAAACTATGCATACATACAAAGAGATCCCTGAGAAACAATGAGGAAGAAAGCACCATTACCAGATGCTGGTGACGTCACTGCTGAAAAGACACCCCCTACCCTCTACCCCCAGTTGGGTTTTTTTTTTTCCTTAAAATCAAATCATAAGCAAAATCACAAAGTGAGTTGGTTCACTGGTTGACACACTGAGTGTGTGTCCCACGTGGAAGGTGAATTTTCTATCTGCTGATGGGATCGGAGGGCAGCTGTTCACAGGGGTTCTGATAGGAGGAATGCTAGTAAGGAAAGGAAGGGTCACTAAGACCCCAGTATAAAGACTCAGACCATCCACTGGACACCTCCCCTTATTAGTACTTTGTCGGTGGGAACTAGTGTATCAGTGACCCGGGGACCCTCTCAGCCTGTGAAAGGGCACAGAGTTGGACTGCCCGCTCTATCCCAGAACATGATCCATTTCGGGTTTGACGTCTCCAAAGCATTTTGGCCCTTGGCTTTGCTGCGATGTCGTGAAAACCTCCCTTTTTCTAAGCAGTCCACATGGCCCATCCCCCACTGTCCTGAACTAGGGTGACCAGAGGGGACTTTAGAGAGGGATTATGTGGCTCGGCAGGCGGGGGTTGGAGGTGGGTAGGGTGCTACTTCTCAACAAAGAAGCTACTCTGACAACAGACTTCCTTGGGAAAGCCGTAATCACCAGACTAGAAGGCAGCCTGTGCTGGCAGGGTTTATTGGCTTTCACTCACAATAGTGTTTGTTTTTGTAGGTAATTAGAGGTTAGCAGCGAGCTATAAAGAATTCTCCAAGAAACTGTACAGTCTATAGCTAAAGGGTATTGAAGTATGCCTGCGTCTAGCCGTTCACTTCTGCAGACCTCCTGTGCTAAGCGGCTAGTATTTGACCCAGCTTTCATCAGGAAGCAAAGGCCTCTGTGCTTTCATACTCAAGGAAGAAATACCTTCGTGTGCCATATGTGTGTCCCAGTGTGTGTGCAAACAGCACTGTAGTACAGACTATGGTGCTGGATGCTGCCACAGGACACTAATTCATAGACCAGTAGCTCAGATCATCTTTACTCTTTATCCTTCTTTACTTATGTGTATGTATGTGTGCCTGCATGGGTTTCTGTACATCACGTCTGGATAGGGGTCTGTGGAGGCCAGAGGACATCAGATACCCTAGAACTGCAGTCAACAGCCAGATGTGGGTGCTGGGAATTGAACCTGGGTCCTCTGCAAAGAGTAGTACATGCTCTTAACCATTGCTCAGTAGTTTATAGGATTTCACTCACAATAGTGTTTGTTTTTGTAGGTAATTAGAGGTTAGTAGCAAGCTATAAAGAATTCTCCAAGAAACTGTGCACAGTCTATAGCCTCCTCAACTAACTTTAAAAACAATCTGTCTGTCTATCTGTCTCTCTGTGTCTATCTGTCTGTGCCCCCCCCCCCCCCCGTGTATGTGTGTGTAGACTCAGAGGACAGTCCAGGTGTCGTTGGTTATGATCTTGTGTTCACTGCTGTGTACAACAGGCTAGCTGGCCTGTGAACTTCCAGGGAGTCTGCTATTTCTGCCTGCCCCATCTTACCACGGTAGCGTGGGGATTACAGACGCATGCTACCTCATCTGGCTTACCTGGGCTCTGAAGATCAGAACCCAGGTCACAGGCTTGAGTGGCAAGCACCCCCCCCCACCCCCTGCCGCCAGCCATTTCCCCGGCTCCTTCAGATAATCTTATTCGAACACAGATGTCCCCCGCAGCTCCAGTTCTGTATTCTTACAGCCCTCAGGCAGCTGACTCACTCCCAGGTACTGAGACAGACTTGCTGGTTCTTTAGTGGTCAGAAAATGCCTTCCAAGGCCATGGTGATCTAAGCTCACCCCTACCCCTAGTGATTCACTAGGTTACCGAGTTTTAACCACTGGAAAGCAGTAATAGAAACGCAATGAAAAAAATTCATGAGGGTCAAGTATTGTCACCAACAGTCAGGAAGCGGCATGAGCATGTAGCAAGGATGTACATCAGGGCCATTGACTGGCTTTGGGAGACCCAGGTCAATAAAGACATGGTCCTTGTGCTACGTACACAACACCCACACAGCATGTTCTCCCACACAGTATGTTCTCCCTCTCCGTGCCCACATCATGGTACCCAACAAGTCCAGAGGAGTCAACTGCCAAACCTCCTACAAATGGGACCAGATAAACAGAAGAGATGAGAAAGAAAGGCCTGAGATATTGCTATTGCTTCGGGAAAACAGCTGCTTTTCCAGCCTTTGTACACTGGCTTTGCTCTTGCAGCAACTGGACAGAACAGGGAAGGCCCTGGGCCCCTTCCTGTGGAGGTCATTAGCAAACTTTTATGACCATTTCCCAAGAACTAGATTTCCATTTGTGTTCTATACAATCCAATATAAATTTTCCCACTGTTCTGCATGCTCAGGTTTCCTCAATTTAATTTTTTTTTAAAGTTCTTACACAGTCATATCACAGTTTTTCTCTTCAGAGAAACAGAAAACAGTCATCCTTTCTAGCAGAGAGGGTAAACTTTCAGGCCATAGTTTTAGAATAGGCTGGCTATCTGCCCCTGAGACTTCCTGCAGGTGACTGCAGCCCTTCTAACACCCACTTTCTTCCTCTGAAAGCGGAGGAGGCTGCCCCAGATTCTCCAGAAGGCATCTTTGGGCTCTAGGGCTTTAGGGTTATTTCATATTAAAATATGAAAGGCTTTGCCTTCCACGTGCAAAGGCAGTTGCTGCTAATTCTTCCAAATCGAGACATAGCATTCTCCATTCAGAAAGTGGGGCTTTGGAAGTGACTGAAAAGAAAACAGAAAGCGAATAATCTAACGCTGAGTCCAACCATTTCTGAATGATGTCCTTGGAGGGAATTGAAAGACCACGCTGAGCTTGGGAAAGTAGTGCAACTAGCTAAGATGGCCAGGAAGACCTCACTGCTGGCTCTGAGAATAAATAAGCTTCACGTGAACATTTCCACACTCAGGAGTCGGTCTGGGAGGTGGACCTTTTTTATTACAGGAACAGCGAAGGCACAGAGCTTCTGTGTCCCGGGGCTCTCAGAATTCAAGTGGGAAACGGGTTTGGGGAAGGAAGGAGGCAGAGCACTGGAGTCTGGTACTTACTTGTGGCCCAGCTCATGGGCGATGGTAAAGGCCAAATTGAGACCATTGTCCTCGGCAAGCACACATTTCCTCTTAGCGCTGCACACGCCTCCTAAGTAAGCAATTCCTGCAGCAGAGACACAAAACACATCCTCTTCAGAATGGGGAGGCCCTGACCTCCAGGAAAGCCCACACAGTCACAATCACGCACCATCTGGAAAGGAGCAAATGGGGACACTCTGGTCTACCAGGCTGGACCTGCAGGCCTGGAGCTCCCCTGAGATTGGCTTGTGCAGGATGCTTTTGCATGCATCCAATAATAACGACAGTGACCACGAACATCCAACAAGCCCTTGACGTGGGTCAGGTAGAGTGCTGAGTGGCTTATCAAAGCGTCTAATTCCATTCTCATCACTGAGAACAGAGGCAACCCAAACCAAGTTCCGAAAGGGAGAGAGACTTTCCCAGGGTCACATGGTTTGGCATTCAGGGCTCAGAGTGAGAGACTGGCAAAGCAAAGTAAGCCATGTTCGGAATTTAAGGAGGATGTCCTTGCACTTACACGTCCTTGAGAAGGACATCCTTAAGTTTTGTACTTTTGCCTCTCCCTAATTCTGACCCTCAGGGACAAAAGCAGCCCAGGGCAGGGGGATGAGCAAAAGGCAGCGTGCAGATGGAGGAGATCTGGGTGGGCATCAGTAAGCCGGCTGCTGGAGGAGGGCCAGGAGTTTCCCTTGGAAGAAGACTCACTGGTGAGGGCTGCATGTGAACAGCACAGATGGCTGAGGAGAGCAAGGTTCCAGTCCCACAGAGCGGGGAGAGGAAGCCCCACTTAGGCAGGCTGGCTCCAGGTTTCCTGCCCTCTACAGCAGCCCTCTGTACTTCTGCTCTGTCTGTTCCCAAGATGTCCATCCTGTACCAGCCAGGCACTCCAGGGCTTACGGCAGCAAGGTCTCTGTGTGCCTGCCCTCTGGCCTCCCCTATCATTGGTCATCGATCCCTGTGCAGGCTGCCCTTCCCGAAGGTCTGGGTAGACTAGAGGAGGGGCCTCACTGTTCTTCCTGTGAGGTCACACTGGGTAACACCACGGCTGTGCAGCAGTAGCCGGAGAGTTGAAGGAGGAACATGGCTGCTCTTGATTTTCTGGCTCAGCACCATGCTGTGATCACTTGAGGGGGAAGTGCCTGTTCACTACCGCCATGGGTGCCAGTCCACCTGCTAAGTTCCATCCTGCTGGAGCTCAGGACTCCACTAATCTTCCTGAAATGTCACAGGAGGGAAGGATTTGTCATTGAACAAGGAAGGACTATCGATGGGGAATTATCTCATTAAAAATGACCTCCCCTCCCCACTTAGAAATAAACTCACCTTCTTAGCATGAAGCCGGCTCTGGGGTCAGAAGGCTTCCGGTGCCATTTGCTATTTGTGGTCACACTTATCCTCCCCCTTTGGAGCAAGAGGGGGAAACAACGCCTGGGGACTCCATGAAAAAAGAAAACTAGGGTTTTCAGTACTGCTTGGAGGTAAAGTGCTTACTGATTATGTGAGGGACTGGGTTTGGTTCTCAGCATCACAAAGAAAAAACGTTATCAAGCTGGCACAAAGTTCAGGCACACACACAGGGCATTCCCTCTTTCTGGGTCCCCTCCATGGGGTACAGAGGGGCATCACATGCAGGCCTTGCAGAGATGCAGTTCTGGGGCTACCAGTGGGTGACACATCCCACATTCCACACGATGAGTGGCCATGCTGTACCACAGTACTATTTTTCTCTGGAAATATGTAACATGCTTGGCCAAGGTTGCAGAATTTAAAAGCAGCAGCAAAGAAATAAATTAAATGCTATTTTGGCCTCCAAATGCTTTTTATGCATGTGGACTTAACAATCCAACAGTGTAGACAATGGGTTGAAAGAAAACAACATCCAGAAAGGATGCAATCTGGTCGCCGGTCGCCTTCAAGGTCATTTCTCTGGTTCTGTTTTAAAATGCTTTGTGGGTTGCTGCTGGCAGTCCACCAGTAAGTCAATGGTATGCTGCTACACAACCCTGAGGGTGTGTGCATGGGAAAGACACACACACACACACACACACACACACACACACACACACACACACACTGCAGTATGTAACACAGGTTACAGCCATTCTGGGTCAATGAATCAATTACCAGCAATCAGAAGCATACATTCTAAGTCAGTCACGTGGTGGTGAGAGGGAAGGGAGGCATAATATGGCCAGCTGTGCTGAGCTTGCTGTCCTGAGCATGCCTGCTGTGGGCTCCGCTGCTGAACCAGCAGACCTTAAATGGCACACAAATACTTTGCTGGGTCCCGGCAGCCCTCTGCACTCTGAGCTGGCAGAATGGGCTTCCCACTTTAATTGGGTAGCATGCCTCGCTATGAGCAGCAGCCAGCAAAGAGCCCTCCAATAATTGCATTTTAATTTTTCCAAGGTGCAGATGCTTGGATTTAAAAAAAAAATCCCAACTAGAAAACAAAGGATCAGTTTATTTATAAGAATTCTCTTGCACAAGGGTGGATTAAGGGCCATTGCTTTTAATGATTGATCACAATCATTACCACCAGCCTGGTGACAAAACCCAGCAAAAGAAAACACATAAAAGAAAATAGCCCCTGATCACCAAACACAAGAGCTGTGTGAGGTTATAAGCGAGAGCGTTGAAACGCTTCGCATGTGTAAACAAAGCCTGGAGAAAATCCCAGGTTGCCGTCAGTGTGAGATCTGCTGGGTAAATAAATGGTAATTAAACCATGGAGCTTCTGTGGAAAACAGGCCACCAGTATTCCATGCTTCATGAAAAGAAACAACTATTTAGGGTTGGGGTCTGGGAGACCAGGGATGCCCTGGTATAGTCTGTACCTAAGGTTTCCCAGCTGCCCAGGAGTGGAGGTCACTGCGGTGGCATTATTGGGAGATGGTGGGGTGTCTAGGTGGTGGGCGTGGTGGGCGGCCTTTCGGTCTTTAGGGACATGCGCCTGAAGGGGATTGTAGGGCTCAGTCCTTTCTCCTTTTTTGCCCCCTGGCCACGGTGTGAGCCATTTCCTCCACTGTGTGACTCCAACCATTGCCCCCAGAACTAGCCCAGAAGGCCTAAAAGCAATGGATCTGATGGACACCGACAGGAACCTCTACAGCCATGGCCCAAACAAACCTCTGTCCACCAAAGGTGCTTCTCTTGGGGCTTCATGCCAGCACTGGAAAGCTAACCAATACAAACCTTGATCACCTCAGGCTCCAGAAAGCACCAAACTGGAAAAGGCCACCAAAGTCCACGTTTGTATCATGGGAAAACTAGTTTTCTCTGCATCAATTTACTTAAAATAAAGAGACTGCAACATTGCTCTGCTAACTTCATGCTGAAGAGTCCCTTTAACTGCACTTCCTGTCCGCAAGGTTTCTTACATCCCACTATGGTGCTTCCAGTGGCTTCAAAGCTTCCATGCTTTCAAATTCTCCACAGAAGAAATCACAGTAGGACTCACTTGAAAACATCAGCCCTGCATGTTTGCATAGCTCCTTGGAGTGAAAGGGAAGCAGAAAGGCCACGGTCACCCATCAGCAGTGTCCCTCCAGGAACAAAGCTGCCTGCCCCGTCCCTATGGAAGAAGATGTAGTCAGGTGCACAGCTAGTCGGTGCTTGTGTTAGTCTCTCCTCACTCTGACAAACTCCCAAGAGAGATGCCCTGAGGAGGAAGGCTGGGCTGGACCTGCTGCGGCTCGAAGTCTGAGAGGCGTCAGTCTTTGGATGGCTAGTTCCTCATGTGTGGGACTGTGGTGAGGCTGCACGCCAGTGGCAGGTAGGCATGGTGGAGCACAGCTGCTCTCTTCACAGAAAGCAGGAAGCAGAGCAAAGGCAAGAGGGGATCCAGGCAAGATCTCCTCACGCAAAGCTACACTCCCAGGGACCCACCTCCTCCACTAGGACCTGCCTTCCATAGTTCTACCACCCCTCAACAGTTCTGGGTCTAGTAATGAGTGAGCCATTGGTTAGGTCAAAGCCACCATGGTCTAGGCCTCTCTGGACATGCCCTCATAGACTCACTCAGAGATGGGATTGACTATTTGCCTTGTCTTGTCTCCAGCTAATGAAGTTAATAATCAAGATTGACCATCAATGTTGGAGCAGGATACAAATGAAGGACACTCCTACAATGCCTCAGCCACAGCTAGCACTTCCCCCAAAGCTTGCCTAATGGACAACAGTGAATAAGCTTGGACAGAGAATATTTTCATAAATCTTAATGTGTGCTTCCATAAAGAGGTAGATGGAATAAAGCAAAGGTTTCTTCTATTTAAGGCCAAATGTTCTGAAGCCTAAAGATAAGACTCAAGAGAGACATATTCCAGTCTCAGTGGTAGTTACCTCTGGGATGTGGGAAAGGGATTAGAGAGCTTCCTAAAAGCCTTTCCATTTTCACCTTATTAGGAGCTCCAATGGGGCTATTGAGATGGACCAGGAGGTAAAAGTGGTTGCCTCTAAGGCTGAAGACTTGAGTGTGACCCCCACAACCCACATAGTGAGGACAGAGGACCAGCTCCCACAGCTGTCCCCTGACCTCATTCACCACTGCATGTGCGTGCCTACCCTGCTATAAAATAAAGAAATAAAACATAAATCAAAAGAGACCAAATCAAGTTATTATATTGGACTTAGACTTCATACCATTAACATACTGTATATTTCACTTATTCTAGATGGCATAGCACTTTCAGAGGTGAGAGACAAAAACAAGACCCCACTGGACTGCCGTCCTGGGTGTACAGCTCTGCAGGAATTCAATGACGCAGCAAGTTCCCAGTTAACTCCATCAAACACAAAACTGCATGTGTACTTACGCAGGGGTTTGTCCCGCCTCTACTGAACCCCTGGATAAACAGGAGTAAAGCACATGACAAATGCTGAGTGTAGAATTCAAGGACAATAACGAGTTCGTCTGGTGCCGGGGATGTTTAATACATTCCTCCAGAGGAGAGAAGCACGCCACCAGAGCCCTCTACCCACCTCCCCAGCCATCCTGACCACACATGGACTCTCCCTCCTCTTTCTAGAGGAACGCACTGTTGGAGAAGAAATCAGGTGAAGAGGCTTGATTACTTTCTCTTT